GCTTGCTGGATAATATATTCCCGATAAAAGTGTTGTCGCATTTTTAAAATCTCCTAAAATGTCGTACAATCCTTCAATCACGGCCCAATCGAAAATTCCAATAGAGTTTTGAGAATAATGGGTTTTATAAAAAGAAAAAATATAATTTTTTTGTTTTGATAAATTTTCGATCATAAAATATGTCAAGTTCCAACGAACGGGCATATCGTAGTTCGGTCCCAAAACTCTAAAAACTGACGTCTTGACAATACCTTGGCCGCATGCATTTTTTTACCTTTAGTGAAAATTCGCCGCAACATAAGTCTAAACTTATCTATTACGGGTTTACAAATATTTAAACCGTCTTGAATGGCTAAATTTATTATATAGGCACAACAATGTGTATGAAATAATTTTCCGTCTAAAATAGGYRTCRAATGACACTTTAATTTTTCCACACAAGCATTGTTATTACTAGCGTTATCAAACGAAATACTAATTATTTTCGCGGTTAAATTATAAAATACAAGCATTTGGGCCAAGGTGAGGGAAATACTATATAAAATACAAACTATAAATACTAAATTTATTATATGGGCACAACCCCGGGTACGTTTTTTCGGTGTGCCTCCTTAACGTAGAATTTCCTTCCGCCGTAAGGAGAGTTTGACACATTTTGCATTGTGTCTTTCGTTTCCCGGTCGTGAGAACCACCAAGTTGTAGTGATTCCAAATCTCGGACTTTCGTCCGTGTTCGGCAAGAACTTGGACAATTTGTTCGTTTGAGAGTTGTTCACCGGCCATTTTTTAAATCGTAAGTAAAAGAGAGAAATAAACGAGAATTGTGAAGTGGAAACGAGAAATTAATACGTAATGAATTCAAAAAATGAAGCGAAAAACCGAGAATTGATAGCGTTTTTTGTGTTTTTGAAGATGAGATGAGTTGGTAACAAACTAAGGAACTCCCATCTCTATTTATATATGTTTTGGTAGCTAGAAAGATGAAAAAAACGGTCATAAGGAGGCTCCAACAGCTAGTTTGACTAAATCTAACGGCTCCTTTGACTTTTAACGGCTAGTTTGACTATTTTGACTTTTGTTGACTTTTTCGTTGACCGGGCCGGGCCCATAACCGGTTACGTAACCGGTTCCGGTCCAAGATTTCTCTAAAATGTCCAACCGGTTCGTAACCGCCGGTCCACAACCGGTTACTAGCGGTCCCGGTCGGTTATGGGCTTCAGGCGGTCTCGGTTACGGTCCTCCGTCAGTTACGGGCCGGGCCAAGGTGAGGGAAATGGACCACGGTCTTTTTCCATTGGAATAGGCTTGGCATTTAGATTTTTGTCTTGGATATCTTGACCAACTTCTTCATTTGTACTAGGCCCAATATTGAAATTAGAATTTTTATCTCCTTTGAGCCAATTAACAGTGTCCACATCCATTATGATACTTTGAATTTGGCATGGGCTTTCATGAGGACCATCTTGAACATTAACTGGATTCAAAATGTCATTTTCTTTGGTAGCATATATCCACGCCACTAGCATGCAAGTAAATGTCTTTATTTGTATGGTCCAAAGAGGGCGAACCAATCAAGCTTTCACATTGCATATATAGACTTGGGAGTAGAAGAAATTTGAGAATGATCATCCTCTCCCATAATGGAGGAATCCATACTCGACAATCTAGAAGACTTGTTAAGAGGATTAATTAGTAGAAATAAAATTATCCAAAGAAATACTTACCTGGGCAGTGGCTTGTATAGGACTTTCCTTTTCAATTAAGATCCAGTAGCCATTTGCTTTGGTTTAGGATCAAGAAAGGTATTAGCTTGAGCAAGATTCTCCATGGATGGAGGCTTATCCACACCAGCTGCTGGATTTAGCAGATCAAAGATAGGCCCAATAACATTATCCACGCCTTCATCAACCTCCTGCTCACCTCCCATGCAACTAATAATAGGAGATGGCAGTTGCTGTTGGCTGCTACTGGAATTCACGAGGCAGTTTGAATAAGTGAAGCTTCATTCATACTGAATGGTTGAATGTCCAGATCTAATGCAGCATCAACTCCCTTAGAGCAGTACCCATCATCTCCATTGGATCCAGAACCGAGGGAGACACCAACTTCAGAATTTTTCTTTTCAGATAAAACGCCACTTTCAAACAGATCCTTAGCAAGCATATCTTCCTTTCTACTTCCAAATATCACTTCACTATCATGTGTTCCTGCATTGAAGACATTAGTATCTAAAGGAGTAGGATCGAGGGAGATTGTAACTAACCTTTAGAAGTTCCTCCTCAGAAAAATCATAACGAGTCTTTGATAGAACTTAACAAGACGATTCTTGAGAATCACAAGTAGCTTTTGCCTATCCACTTCAACATTTCTTCGAAATCTTTGATTGGCTTGAAACTTGAAACCATTAATCATAGACATCCAACGATGGTTTGTCATACGATTTATGATTTTATGCTTCATACGATTCCTTTTACAACGATTCTTCCTTGTTTTCCTATGTGATGATTCCTCCAAAGGAGGATGAACCCCAACCATAGGAAAAGAAACCAAAAAAATGAAAAACTCTAGAGAGAATTCTAGAGAGAGAGAAAATTTCGACCAAATGAGGAGCCTTATCAAAATGTAGTTAACGATGTGGCAATAGAAGATAACATGGATTTTGTTGGTGATGAGGATTCTGGTAAGTTAAGATATATTGTATTTGTTCATGGGGTTTCAATCTACTATTTTTCCATGGATTTCGACTGGTTTCAGCATCTATGCATGTATGCAACATTCAAACAAACCTGTAGTTATTTTGTACAAGATATGCTTCGATTTCAATGGTTTCAAACAGTGAAGTGATGTCGACTGGTTTCATGTTCGATGGCGTGAATATATGAATAAATGGTTGCATATGTAGTGTATGACGAATGAGATTTTTAATTTTTTGAATCATGTGATTGCAAAACAGTCCTTGCACATAGTTGTATGAATGTGTTTTCATTACTTCATTAGTAGATGAATAAAACTTACGTTGTTGTATTATTGTTGATCATGGAATATAAGTCCATATCTATTTTGTGTTTACGCTCTTACCTTTTTTGTATTTTAGATTGTTGCGTAGTGTTGTTCATAATCAAAACAACATAGTTTATAGAGTTTATGTTTTTTTTTTCAAATGGTTGTAATTATGAATGCAGTGGAAGCTGATGATATGTTTTTAACACTGGGTGGTTCGGAGTTATGTACCAGAAGGATTTAAGATAGGCGTTGGAATACAATTTTTGTCTTTGGAAGCTGCGGAAGGATTCTACATTAAGTATGTTGATTATGTGGGTTTTGATGTTCGTGAGTCTAATCATAAGATAAATAAGTTGGTCTAATAATGAAGTTCTCTATGCCGATCGTAATAACATAACCTAACCTATAAACATATTTTGGTCAAACCAATGACGATTCATATATGCAGATCCATTTTCTTATGAAGAAAAAAATGTTTCACAATGTTTTGAATATTGTATAATGAACATAAAATGTACACATAGACAGCTTCATTATCTTATGTAAAGAACCTATGTCATATATATATATATATATATATGTATGTGTGTGTGTGCGTGCATTTTGGTTGTTTGTCATACTACTACCCATTTCACTGATATGCAGATTGTGTTTCATTCTAAGATGACACTTTTCACATATGCAAATGTGTATCATACTTACATATGCCATTAGAATTTATTTAACCGTTACTTATTATTTACTCTGCTTATTGAGTCTTATGTATCTTCTTCAAATGACTTTTTCTCTGTTAATGCATTCATATTATGCTCATATGTCTTCTTAATTTCTGTTCCTACTGGAAACATTAATGAACATTACAATATTCAATAGTGTAGTTTGAATAATCACATTTCTCTTATTTAAAATCATACCATATTTGGCATCATCTTGCAAGTCAAATTGCATCCTTTTAGTCACTTATGTAAATTGTTCAACAAATCATCAAAATGTATTTACATATCTGAATCTGGTTTGCATAGCAAGTTCTCAATGATATTTCATTCAAACTATTATTTTCCTAATGTCATCTTTTTCTTCCAAGGTGCAGATGTGAATGTACATATACATGAGGGTAACCATGGCTAAACAGCTTTACTATGGCTCCACATATGAATTTTATAGTATATGTCCAAGGTTTATCATATGAAATGTCATGCTTTCACATATGGACATTGGTTACAAATCCCACTTATTCCATTAAATCCAAATGGCAAATGCTAAAGAAATATTCGTAACTCATTTGTACACATATGCATATTTCATAGATAGTTAATGCATCACCAATTGAACTGATATTTTTTCAAATGCTAGCTTCCCCTTTGACCTTTGATGGTGCATATGTGAATGTACATTATATCCATAAAGGTTACCATGGTTTCAAGTTATGTTCCACATCTGCTTTATCATGGTAAACAGATTTACCATGGTTTCACATATGAATTGTACCATTTACCATCAGGGTTTATCGTATGAAAGACCATGATTTCACATACGCGCAATTGTTTCTATATCTAATTAATTCCATAAATTCAGTTTCAGCTATATTAAATTTTCTACTTTTATAGGTGAACTAATTTATGAACATAATTTAGTTTTACACATATGCATATTGCAAAATAGTACGAAAACCTAGGTTAGTCGATAACTTATATGATGAATTTGTAGGGGGAAACACACCTCTAAATCTTTAAATTTAATTGTTTTCTATCATATTCAACACACGAGTAGTGATGAAATCTCAAAATAAAGTTCCCAGATACGATCAACGATGGTAATTTGTGTCCGAAATCCTGAAATTTGCATTGTGAAAACTGTCGTTGGAGATGGAAAAATTGAAATCCGATAGAGACCAAGTTTCATTATTTTCAACATGGGTTTTCTTCTTCCTATTTTCCCTTATCGTGCCTTCATCCTTGTATGTTTCTTTTTGTATGTATGAACAAAGACAGCCATGAAAGGAAAAATAAAGGAGAAATTTGCAGAGCATGCAAACACCATTAAAGCAAGGTATGTTAGATTCGCAACTTGTGTATTGTAGTTTTACGGAGTTGTTTTTCCTTATTCACTATGCATCGAGAAAATTGTCGTCTTCATTGTGCCTGGCCATGGAGAGAGTGAAGTATATCAGTAGTATTGTTCCCATGCTTGACCTGTCAAAGTTGATACACATTGACATTGTTAGTTCAAACAAAACCAAATCAACAATAACAATCAAGAAACAGTTCTAATCATCAAACATGTTAAAGTTTTTCAACTGTCTTTCTCACTTACCTAAACCTTTACTCGTATGGTTGAAGAGACTTGTTCTTGTTCTTCACAACCTCCTCTAATTTGCTGCATAGGCTAAGGTTTATCAGGATTTTTGACAAACAGATTCATCAAGTCTCTTTGCGTAAGAGCACAAAATCTACTCTTATTTATAATATAGCGGTAAATTAAAGTTATATTTCTAATATACAGGTAAATTGAAGATGAATATGAAGGATAGAGTAGATGCGTAGTACTACGAAGATGATTGGGATTGCCCCGTTGATGAGACAAAAGTTTTGAGAAACAAGAAAGAAAGACCACCGGCAACCGCCATCGCCGGACCATCAAATTGGACATCCATGTTGTCACCGGAGAAACAGAGGAAGAGCAAGGACATCCAAAAACCCAAGTTTCTCCCTCTCTAGATTTTTTCTCTCAAGGTTTCTTTGTTGTTTTGGGTTGTTTTCTGTTTTTCTTGGCTCTTGTGGATGATCTTTCACCTCCTTTGGACGATTCATCTCATAGGAAGACTCGAAAAACTAAGAAAAATCTCTGTCCAGATTTCCAATCTCCAAATTTTTGTTCTTTGCTCATGAAAAATGGCCTCACCTTTCGTTCATTGCTTGAACCCAAAACCTCCTACGGTTTTTTAAAATCTGCCCTGTACCAAAAACCGTGAGAAGCTTGGATGAGCCAACCACTGATTCTGAAAAGTTGGAAGGACCTTTCACTGTTTTGGAAGATGGTACGCTGTTGTCTTCTACGACTATGGATGGGTCAAAAAGTAACACCTTTCACTGTTGTTTGGAAGGACCTTTCACATGCAAGGGATTGGGTCACAGATTTGTCTTCTATGTCAAAATCTAATATTTCCCGAAATCAATGTAGAAATAAATAAGGTTACCAACTTACACCAATTCAAATAAGAGATGCTCCACCCATGGCACAAAAAGGTATTGTCATGTTTGACAAGATACATAGCACATGATAAAGTTTCAATTCCAAGTAAAATCTATAAAATAGCACTCCATAATGAAAGGGTAATCTTGTGGACAAACATCAATACCAGTAATGTTTTGCAAGGATTATTGTGGGTGAAAGGTTCCTTTAGCTTGAAATTTTGCAGAAAAAAGGAAACATCATTTGCATAACAAGAAATTGCTGCAATTTTATGCAAGAAACTTCTGAAAAAGTTAAGAATCCACAACAATTAAACCTGCAAATGATATTTCAGTGTCAACATATAGCTCCATGCTTTTGAAAGAGGGAGTATAACATAATTGTTTGTCCACTCATCTATCTARTACTTTTAATTTTAGAGGACTTGGTGCATTAACAATTCAATCAACCACTTCAATTATCATCTCCTTCGATTCTCTTCAGAACACTTGAAAATCGACGCAYTTGTTTCATACATTCGTTTCATGAACATTTGGGAGGAAATTAAAGAAACAAAACTGAATTCACCTTAAGAGATTGAGAAGAGCCATTGACGTCGGTTTTAACACACCAAACCCTAAMTCTTCTRAATCCACACACYTGAAAAACAAACAAATTAACCCAAAAACATCAATTTCAACAACGTAAAACACAAATCGCGATAAATAAGGAGACGGTACCGAAGTAGGTTGATGAGAAGAGTGAAGAGATGGAGAAATTGAGCTAATCGAAGCCAAAGCAGAAGCTCCATAGACCTCCATTGTATTTGAGAAGTGTAATTACGACAAATATTCGGAATAGAGTGGGAAGAAGCTGATGTTTTGGAGGTGGAGGTGGTGGTGGTTGTGGACAACAATGGTGGATGAATCATCGTGTTTGCATTTGAACCATATTAGACATATTCTTCATATCTTATTGTGGTACCCACTATTGATCTAACTACGAATCATCTTATGAAGGCTGGTTTAATTTTGAATCATGTACGGTTATTTTACAAATTAATTAATATATAAAATTGAAGATTAATATAGTAAATTAATAAGATCGATTGAAAAAATAATTACACACAYGTTGAGTTTATAAACTCATATAAAGTTGAAGGGTTGGAGTGAGGTACATGCAGGATCTGAAGTCTTTCTGATATTGTTGCTTCAAATTTCAGTTACTTYAAGAGAAAGAAGAATTTTGAGTTTGAATTTAGGTTCAAAATAGAAAACAAACAAAGTGTCAAATAATTTTGGAAAGACCAAACATACTTTCATGTAAATATGGTTTATTTAAATCTGAAACTTTGATMAAACAAATGGTATGTTTTAAAGATTTGTACATTATGCATAATAGTTTGTACTTAAGARATWTTTGAATCTCTTGCATAAATTGATAGTACTTTATACTTTCAAACTTGTAATTAAGACTTTTGGTCTAAATGCTTATCAATGTAGTATAGATAAGAAGAAGAAGAAGAAAGCGGCTCAATGTGGTAATTTTAGAAGTATGTAAAGAGAAAGCAAGTTTGACTCAATTAGGATTTGGTGTTGCATAAATAACTTGTACATTGTGCAAAACATTTGGTAATTAAGAGATTTTTGAATTCTTGCATAAAATGATGGTATTCTATGCTTTAAAACTTGTACTTAAGATATAGGTATAAATGCTTATTAATGTAGTATAGATATACTATGAAAAAATATTTTTAATATTTACACTTTATACTTTTATAGTTATTTATTTAATTTACGATACATCATTTATTGTTTTAATTTTCATTTTACACCATTATCACATTGAAATACATAATTTTATATTAACTAAAATTAGATCTAACAACGAAATTAAACTTTCAGAAAGCATTTTCATACCCTTATTCATCTTGTTCATCTTACATACTCAWTTTTTTAATATACTTTTTAATTTTAAAATTATACTTCATATTCTATAGTTACTTAATTAATTTATTTTTATAGTTTTGTTTTTTCTATTTTTTGTTCTATACCCTTATCACATTAAGATACATAATTATATATTAACTAAAATACGTTAAAAAATATGTTCTAATTTTAACAAGTTAAATCATTATAATCGTCTTGTGCAATTA